AGGAGGAGGAGGGGGAGGAGGGGGAGGAGGAGGAGGAGGAGGAGGAGTTGGATGGATAGCAGAAGCAGCAGCAAGATCGCCGTTGTTGGATTGCTGTAGCTGATGTCGTTGGTCCAACAGCAACAGCAGCAGCAGCAGCAGCAGCAGCAACAGCAGCAGCAGCAGTAGTAGTAGTAGTAGTAGTTGGGGTGTATGTGTGTTTTGTACGCAGGGAGAATTCTTGCCAGGCAATGGAGATGAGGTGTTAGGTTAGCTGCTGTTGTTGCTGTTGGTGCTGCTGTTGCTGCTGCTGTTGGTGCTGCTGTTGCTGCTGCTGTTGCTGCTGGTACTGCCTTGCCAACCTCCAGCTACTTGCATGCGTGTTGCTGCTGCTGGGTTGCTGCTGCAGTACGATGGCGTCGAGTGGAGCCCCCTGCTGCTCCGAGCAGCAGCAGCAGCAGCAGCAGGAGCAGGCCCTTAGTGCCTGCCTATACAGTAGAGGAGCTGAAGGGTCTCGTGAGGGAGACGAGCGCATGCAGCCCCATCTTAGCGACACTCGGATCTGCAGGTATTTAACCCCATAACAACAGCAGCAGCAGCAGCAGTTGTTGCTGCTGCTCCTCTTGCTGCTGCTGCTGCACTTCTAAGTTGCAGAGGATATTTGCCTTCTGCTGCTCTCCATTCGATCCATTTGCTGCTGCAGAGAGATGCTGCTGCTGCTATGTTGCTGCCATGCTAATATTGTATTGCTACTGTGCTGCTGCTGCTGCTGTGCTGCTGCTGCTGCTGCAGTGTTGCCTTCTTTTGTTGAGGCTGCGCTGCGGTGTATGGTTGGTGGTGAGGTGTCTCTTGTTTGCTGCCAGCAGCAGCATCTGTTGCCTAGGGACTATGACCATTCTCCTCAAGGTGTAGCTGCTGCTGCTGCTGCTGCTGTTGCTGCTGCTGCTGCTGCTGGTCATCGCAGCATACCAAGCATCAATAGCATCAGCAGCAACAGCAGCAGCAGCAGAGCTTATGCTGCGCTGCATAAATCCTCAATACGTGTAGAGCGAACAGCAGCAAGAAGAATTGCAGAGCAGCAAAGGAGGCAGCAGCGGGAACGGCAGCAGCAGCTACAGCAGCAGCAGCAGGAACAGCAGCACCAGCAACAGCAGCAGAAGGCAGACGAGCAGCAGCAGAAGCAGGTGCAGCACCCACCATGTGCAGCAGCAACCCCTTCACCGGACTGCTGCAGCTGCTGCTGGACACCAACCGCCAAAGGGGCAGCAGCAACAGCAGCAGCAGCAAAAACAGCAGCAGCAGCAGCAACAACACCACCGGAAGCAACAGGTAATGCTGCAGCGGCAACAGCAGCAAGTGAACCGCCGCCAGCAGCAAAAGGGTCTGAGGAGGGAGCAGCAACAGCAGCAGCAGCAGGTGAAGGAGGAGCAGCAGCAGCCAAAGATGAACAACCTACAGCATTAGCAGAAACAGCAGCAGCAAGCCCTGCAGCAACAGCAGCAACAGCAGCAGCAGCAGCAGGGGGAGGTCTATGCTTCGTGGTAGAGTTAGCAGCAGTAGGGAGGCAGCAGCAACCAGAGGAGACAGGAAGCATAAAAGTGTCTCCTCTTGTCTCCTCTGCATGCACACGATTCCCTAGGGAAGGAGATTTGCTGCTGCTGCAGCTTGCTGCTGTTTGCTGCTACCGCTGCTGCCAGCAGCAGCAGCTGAATACTCTCTGCAGCATGCTGCACCTTAAAGTCACTAATGAGCTGCAGCTGCTGCTGATGCAGCAACAGCAGCAACAGCAGCAACAGCAGCAAAGCTGCTGCCACCAGCATACCGCACACTTACCCCCGGATGCTGCTGCTGACACAACAGCAGCAACTGCAGCAACTGCAGCAACTGCAGCAGGAGCAGCAGCAGCAGCAGCGCCACAGGTGCATGCATTTGAGGTAACATTTGTTGCTTCTCCTTTGCTGCCTGCTGCGCTGCTGCTAGGCATTAAACAAATGAGGGAAGGGGAAGCAGCACTTATCTCTATCCAAGGTGCTGCTGCTCTCTCTCTGCTG